GCAGGCCCTTTTGAGAATACAATCTGTAGCATCCAAAAAGGGTGAGGTGGGGAAGGGAATAAAATAATTTTTACCAAGCTTTACCAAGACACTAAAACAATGAATTTAACTACCATGAACACTTTCTTGAGACAACATTCAGTTCACCTATGTAAGTATTTCAGATGCACATTACAAACTAAGAGACATTACATTTGAAGTCAAATTTTATTGCAATTCAACAAGAGATGAAGTTTGCCCTAAATTCTACAATGAGCATTGCACAAAGTTTCCTTCTTGAAGTACAATCGATATTTATCAGTAACTATTGTCAGCTGCTAACTTTACTTGTAAGTAGTGGTAAAACACTGAGCCATTTTTTGCATAGGAGGAATTCTACTTTTGTCAGAAAACACAGTAAGTAGAACAAGGTTTATAGGTAGGGTAGACTTTATGACATCTTTATCAGTAGAAGAAAGATAACACTTGTTGGTTTGATAGCATGTTACAATGTTCCTGTTTACACTTCCTCCAATACTTGTTGCCCCTTTTCTTGCTCCTCTTTGCAATTCTCTCTTCAGAAGTATTGTCTACCTCTTCTTTCAGAAGTAGTCTTATAGTTTGAGCACTTTGATAACTTGTATTTGGAATCTGCTGTTTGCATTTTAGTCCAAAAGAAGAGCATGTGTGCCTGAAGCTTGTCTCTTTATTTTCCTACTTTCTTTTCTCGTACATTGGACCAAATGATCTGATAGGATTGTCTACGAAACTGCCTTGCCTGATCATCAAACTACTCCTAGAGAAAGTAATGGCTGTAAAAAGAAAACAGCTGAAAGCTATGGTAGTGTGAACTGACAGGTGCCATTTAAAAGATGTAAAATGCGTACATTCAAATCAAACACTGTTATTACACTCCTATAGGGAATGTGACAGCAAGATGGCTAGTTTTGTGAAGGATGTGGTCTGTCTAGTTCTCTTCTTGGTTCTGTGCCTGCATGATAAAATAACCACCTCAATTTAGCGCTGGGTCAGCAGGCAGCTGGGTCTGTTCTTTTGCCTGTATAGATAACCTGTTCAGTTTAAGAAGACTCTACCCTTCCTATGTTTAATGTATGAGTGGATGCTGCTATTGGGATCTAACATTTCATTTTTATTTTCTCAACATAGCATTGCAAAAAGCTTATGCTGTAGTAGGTACAATATTTACACAGCATGTTACAACCTGTGCTTAGCACAAATTCTTGAGGAGGTATAGTGCTTGTGCTCGTGGCAGAGACAGAAAAAGCAATTTCTAACTCCAGACATTTCCTCCTTAGTTTTTGCTGCCTTTGCTAAATGTATTTCAAAATATGGCCAGAAAACTTGCATCCAAATAACCTGAACTAAATATAACCTGCCCAACTAACCTGAATACAACATCCCTAATATAGTGTTAAGTTCATTAAAAAAAAAAAAGTAAATGAAATGTAGGATTGTGCTTGGGCAGGTAAATGACACTTCTGTACAGATACTGTTCTGTGATCTTTTCATTCCACTGTACACATGCATAGCCTCATTAAAATCAGAGAGCAGTTCTATGTGGTTAGCATTTGGCTAACTATTGTCTTAATCTTTTAATTTGTGATGCACAGGATGTAAGCAAACAGAAGTAATGCTTTGTTTGCATCTTTCAGAATAGCAGGTAACACAACTGATTTAAGTTGACAACAACCTTCCATGCAATATCTGGAACAGCCTCAAATTGCGGAGCTGGGGTCCACAGACAGTGCTGTGAAATGCAGGGTCAGTATTCTTTATAAGCAATTTGTGCATTCCTGCAGCTGCACGTGAACAGGCTGGCAGGAACCAAGCAGGCTTTCCCTGTAGAGGGGAAAAAGCCAACCACTCCTGCAAGCCCCTGTGTATTTAGCATTGTAAAGTTGAGGTATGTGGCACTGTGGCAAAAGTTTAAGAAATAGTAAATTGCAACAGTTCTGTCCAGCTAATTGCACACGCCTGGTTCTGTGTTGGGGAAAATAAAAGGAGTATCAGATGGAGCTAATGAAAAGTTTCTCAGGAGTCTTGCAACCCTCCTTTTCTAAATAAAAAGCAAGCAGGAAGAGTTTACAGGGGAGGCATGTATAAGAAGTTGTGTTCCTGAAGATTTCACCCACACTTTCCAGTGAAAGTAATGGCTTCTTGGTTTCTACTTGTTTACTGAGAAGGGCAGGTTCTGCAAATTTTTTTGGCTGTATGTGTCCCCCTCTGAGATGGAGCAAGGTGGAGGCAAACTCCCTCCTCTTCCAAGATTGTGAGAGAGAAAGGCAGATCCTTGGCATTATCTTCAGATCAGCATTCTGAGAAAAACTGGTGTATGGTTAACATCTTATTGTGTTCATCCATGTACTGCCAGCTGTCCTTTATTGGAAACGGGAGGTTCTCAGGAACACTAGGTCTGCAAAACAATAGTAGCTTTAGGTGCTGATAATCTCTAGTTAATGTGGCGGCTAGAATAGTGAAGGTACAGAGGTGTCTTCTTTTAATGGAATGATGTAAATGGGAATTACAACCTTCAAACACCAGCTAATTAGGACATAACAGACTAAAGTACTGAACTCCAATAGTGAAAATTGCACCTGTCATTCACAAGATTGATGGCATGTTAATTTAAATGGTCACTTCATTGTCCTTTCAGCATCATTTGAACTATGGAAATACTTTGTTTTGCTTTAAGTAAAAGCAAAACGCAAATATATTAAAAGGTTAAGGGAAGGAAATATTCCTGTCATGGCAGCAAAGAGTGAGAAATACCCCGACCTAATTCGAAGAAGCATGAACTGTCTGTAAGTAAGAACATAGTATTTTGTTTAGAAAAGTCTTCCAAAACCCAAGCTGCTTACATAGACTTCCCTAAGAGAGAAGTTTTTAAGTGTTAAGAACAATTTTCTGTTAGTGCCAGCCACTCTGTGAGCATGCTATAAATGCTTGATGAGCAGATCTGAAAATGAGTCTTGCCTTTTCGGAAGTCGCACTTGAAAATGTTGCCCAATTCCTTTCTTATTTGAAGGTCTGATCATACCTGTTTGTGACAGGATGTAGCTGCTTTCCCATCACCTTACAGTGTTCTGATCTAGTTTTATTGTGTCTGAAAAAAAGTGAGTATAAATCTGTTTTTAATAATGGTTATATTAGAAAAGCTCTTTGTTTGTAAAATGGTGTATTGGGAAAAATATGAAGACTTCATTAAAAGCAGAGGTACCACAAGAGGGTACTATTTCTTTGGTTTTCATAGCTACTAAACTTCAACAGTTCTGACAAGTCACTTGGTCTGAAGAGGTGCCTAGTCTCTAGAATTTGAGGGTGTTAAGAATCAGCCAGACATGCCTGTCTGTTGCACTTAACTTTGCCTCTGAGTCTTAAGCTTGCACCTTGGCTCTCAGAATCAACAGGCTCTGAGTTGAGAGCAAGTGGTTTTAGTGCTGCAGTGTACAGCAGCAGCCTAAAACTGGTAACTGCCTGGTATTCTCCCTCCAGGTCATGAACAAACAGGAAAAGACCACTTCTGTGTGTGTGTGTTGATGTCTACAATCCCTAATCTGTATCTAAAATTGCCCACTTCCAGTCAGCTAATACCCATTTATTGCACTGATCTAAGCACAGCAGTCTGTCTAGTAAACCACAAACCCCCTACTCCTCATATAAAATGAGAACCAACGTTTTTCAGTGAGTTACCCAGGTGAAAATTACACCAATGATGCTTTGAAACATCAGGTTTGCTTCTAAAGGAATTCATCCATCATCCTAGAAATAAAAAAAATAATTGCATGACACACTAGAAATAATCCATGTGCAATAGCACATGGGGATGACTCTATTCAGATATGAGTTGAATCTTTCTTACAGGAACTATCTACAGTTTTCATTAAGTTAAGCTAAAAAGGCACCTCTTGCGTAAACAAGGCATAACGAACTTTTTAAAAAACACTTTGGCAATAAAAAAGGAGTTTAACATTAAATTCTGTGAGTTTGGTAACTGATTGGATATTTGGAATTTTCTGATCACAAAAAAAATGTGAAAAATGCCTATTAGAAATAGTTTGATCTTAAGCTTTAAAGCAGTTGTAGGAACACCTATCCATAAGCATATATTGGACTGGACATTGGCTGAGGTAGAAGACTAAAGCACACCAGAAAAGGGAAGCGAAGGAGAAGATCCAACTGTGAAACACTAAGTTAGTTTTTCTAAAAGAAGGAAACGTCTATCAGTCTTGCATTCAGTATCTTAGATCACTGGTTGACTCATTCTCCGCTGCACTTCATCAGTGGGTACGCTTTGTACATGAAAGATGTGAGCAGAGCAATGCGATGCAACTTATACTTTATTTCTAAAGCTTTCCATACAACTACATTTTGCAAATAATTGCTTCACCACCACTACCTTTTTTCTCACATTTTTAAGCTTGGTATTCAATGCATACAGTAAGAGTTCACAAAAGCACTCATGAAGTCACCAGTGCCCTGGTGAGGTTAGCACAGACAGAAACACAGAAGCTACAACTTGCTGAAAATCTGGCAGTGAGACAGTGGTAGTGTCAGGCACAGAACTTCATCATGCATGTTCCTGCCTCTTATACTTCTAGAAAAATAAATACTTTGTTTCTAACAAAGCTCTAGATTATTTTGTTACTTAATAGCAGATGTGCCTACCTCCATGTTAGACAGAATAGAAATTAAAATGAAGAAAATAATAAATTATTGTGTATGACCCTTGGCAGAATTTTCAAAAGCAGGCTCCTCCTAAAAGGGGAGTTTTAACTTCATATGGTGAAGGGTTTAAAAAGTTGAGTTTTTGAAAATTTCATCTTGTATGTCTTTTACAGAGCCATGATAAAAATACCAAGTGTAGTAAATCAGCTCTTAATATTGCAATGCATTTAAGTATCAGGAAAAATAAGTTGGTTTAATAATCAATTTAATAATTAAAATGCTGTTTCATATTCTTGATATCCTTAAGGGAATTTCTGCATGTGTAATTTAGAAAATTACTCCAGAAAAGCCTCACCCTGAAAAATTATGCTCTCAATCTCCAGCACTATTTCAGGGAGAGATTTTTCTAGACTGACAGTAATAAAGTTTTCTGGAGCACTAGGAGGCTCCAGAGTATCAAACTGAGACTTGAGTAGTTCAGGTGGCATAAAATGTCCCCCCCTCTTCTCCAGGCGGCCAGTAATGATGTCTGTAGGCCCATCCAAATGAACAAAGAGGATCTTCAGTGCTTCATTTTCTCCTGATTCCTCTGGCTCGTTGCTTGCAATTGCAAATGGTCCACTAAGTAACACATACCTATACATCTTCTTCAGTGCAGAACAGGCCAGAATTACATCTTGTCCAAATGCGTCTTCTCTAGCAAAAAGAAAACAAAACACCCCCCCCATCCACATCTGGTATAACAATATGGCTCATTAGTTCTGCTTAATAAGGGAGACAAGCCCTACATCCTTGGCAGTAGTGGCATTTCTTTGTTATTTTGAAAGGATTTGAAACGCAATTTCCAATGCAGGTAAAGATGTGATTTGAAAGTGAGGTCAGGCTAGCCAGCCTCCTGGTAAAATCTCAATCTTGGGGACCTTCTTTATTAGCCACTGTTCTTTCCTAAATTAAATTCAATTCTAGCACAAAGTGTCATGATCATTTCCTTAACTGCTGAGAACAGCAGCAACTGAATATCCATACAAACTCCATCCATTATCTATAAAATTACTATACTAATCTGTTTAGAGAGGAAGTGGCTACTGAACAGTACAGAGCTCTGTTCTTAAGTACATGTGCAGGTGTACTTCCAATACCTGTTTTTGTTATCTCAGGTTTAACTGTAACGTTATATTTTATGTTTCCTGTAACCATAGTCATTGGCAGCACTGCATATATGCCCACTTCAAGTTAAACAAGGGATTGGATGCAGCTGAATTAATGCCTTGCATGTGTATTTTTTAATGGTAAGTTTCTTAAAATAAAGCAAGCATTAAACCATGGGTATGTCTGTTCCACTGAAAAGCAAATCCAGAATTAGTTGTCTCTATGAAGAGTGACTGAAATGCCTGTCTAAGAAAATACATTCTGTAATCAAATTAAAATTAGGTATAAACCTATTCAAAAATCATGCCGTGTTCATCAGATTTGGTTCACAGGGAAATAAGAACTTAGAATACCCACTATTATCACCTAGGTAAGCCAATGCCAGCCTTAGTTACTTACAAGTACTAGTAATGAAACATTGGCATTAGGCTCTTTTAAAGTATACTTGATTTTGCAAAGTTTCTGGAGCTGGGCAGTGGCCTTGGGCTAGCATGTAACATAAAGCAATGGATCCAGCATAACAATCCCGACAAATTTCTCAGTCAATTAACCCACGCTCCAATGAAGTATGCTCACCTGATGTACACAAGCAAGTAACAGCCACTGTGTAAAGCCAGGCTAAACAGTCCCTGCTCTCCCAGCCTTTCCTCATTTGGGAGATGCTTCAGTCCCTTCGTTCACCTACATGGCCCTTCGTTAGATGCTCTCCAGTATGTCCATGTCTCTCTTGTAATGGGGAGTGCAGAACTGGACATGGTACTCCAGGAGTGGTCTCACCAGTGCTGAGGAGAGGGGAAGGATCACCTCCCTCGACCTTCTGGCAATACTTTGTCTAATGGAGCCCAGGATATGGCTAGCCTGTCTTGCCAGAAGAGCATATTGCTGGCCCATGTTCAACTTGGATGTCCACCACTACCACCACCCCCTGGTCCTTTTCTGCAAAGCTGCTTTCCAGCTGGGTGCCCCCCACAATGTACTGGTTGTTCCCCCCCAGGGGCAGGACTTTGCACTCTTAAACTGCATGAGGTTCCTGCCAGCCCATTTCTACAGCCTGTCAAGGTCCCTCTGGATCAGCCACTCCTCCCAGTTTGGTGTCACCTGCAAACTTGCTGAGGGAACACTGCCCCATCATCTGGATCCTGAATGAAGACGTTAAACAGGACTGGACCCAGTATTGACCCCTGGGGTACACCACTAGTTACTGGCCTTCAGCTACACTTTGTGCCACCGATCACCACCCTCTGCGCCTGGGCGTTCAGCCAGTTTTTAATCCACCTCACTGCCTGCTCATCCAGCCCTTACTTCCATCAGCTTCTCTGTAAGGATCCTATGGCAGATGGTGTCAAGCAAACTTTACACTGTATCTTACTCAAACTAACAATATTTTAAAAAATTTTACCTTACTGTCAATATCGGTGTATTTTGTGGTTACGTCCTTTGTAAGTAGCTAATGTCAGGCTTATTACTGAACTGCATCCTTGAAATTATTTTTACACAGACAGCAGAAAAACAACTATCATTGGCAAGAATTTTCCCAACACTATTATTCAGGGATTATCTCAGCCTCAGCAATTACCATGACAGCTTAGATCAGTGAAAACAGAATGGCTTTACCACCTGCAGAATGTTTTTACACTACTACATACATTTCTGCTTTGGAATGCAATGGGGAAAAATATTTCGGACACTTTTTTTGTCTTTAGCCCAAACTCCATAAAGCTAGATGTTCTCTTACCTCCTTAGTATATCATGCAGTGCACAAAGCCAGGGCATCCTGTCCTAGACAGAAAACAAGTTCGTTCAAAGTTATTTATGAAATTGATTTGAAACAATTGCTTCTAACATCTACAGCATTTGACTAGACATGAAAGTTAGCATTAAGCTGTACAGCAAGTTCAGTTTTGATCCTCTTTCTTCCTAATGTAGATTTGCTACCACTGCCTGAAGGCTAACAAGAAGTGCTAGGCATACTATCAGGAAGGTGTTTTTAGTGGAATAGTACTTTTTGTATTACAGATACCTACAAGTATCTGATGGAAGTAATATATATCTATACGTGGCATGCACCTTGTAAACCTTTGAAGGACAGTCAACTTCTCTCTTGCTTCTATTACACAATTCAAATGTACAGCCTGAATTGTTATTTCTTTTTCCTTGTATCTTGGCATACACACACAATTCTTTGGATCAAAGTTGAGGTTTTCAGGAACAGATAACTAAATTTAGATCTATCTGCAATAACTTGATTATATCATTTGTATGTCACTAGCAATCACAAATAAATGTAATCATAGCCACAATTTTGCAACACTTTTGCTCAGTTAGGCAAACACTATGCGAGTGATTGATCTGCTTCTTATTATCATCTTATTTTAGGTTTTCAGCTTCCACAAACTTTTCTCATACCTATTGAGCACTAAACAATTGCTCCCATTTCATCTTTCAATTCTGTTACTGCTGGGTGAGCACAACAAAAGATAACATGGACAAATAAAGGCAACAATTTTTTGTTATTGCCGTTACAGAATAACTTCCCACTGGCATTCACAGCAGCCCTCACAATTTTGCATCTCTGGTGTTTCAAAACAGATGCTGGGCGACATACACCAATGGGTTAGTCATTCAATCATGCAATGCTGCTTTAGATGACATACCGGCTTATATGTACTTCCAACCACTAGCAAAAGATTAAAGTTTTTGGCAAGAATCTAGAATACTTTTTTTTTCAGTCTATAGGGAGTGCTTTGAAGAACTCCCTAGTTCAGCTTTATGTTTCTAGAGATTTCCCAGAAAAAGTTCAAGAGGTGTCATCTTGTAACTTTTCTAGTTTGCTAAAGTCTCTGGATTCCCAAGTATTGTAAAACTAAACATGATCATTTTTATCTGTTTAGGCTGAACCACAGGCTAGAGGAAAGGAAGCACATATAAAGCAGGAGAGTATAAAACAGAAGATTGTGGAGCAATCACTGCAGTAACTGGAAGTGATGAAGTGTACTTCAGTCAGTAGAGACATTTGTCTGTCGTCATGTATTTAACATTACGAAGAAGCAGGACGTACTCTAAAGCTGCAGCTCTGTATATTGATGCAGAGGGAGAGATTTCTGACAAATCCTGAATCAGCACCAAACCCCTTGTGAGCTACCAAGCACACTTTGATAAACTACTTTTTTAAGCAGAATCCTTTGTAACACAAGAAGCCTCCCCCTCTTACCAGCTGCAGACCTATAAATTCCGCCTATGCTTACAGTCAGCCTAGTCTACATAAAGCACAATCTACTTCAACACACCGTGCCAGAGGTTACAAAGATAAACGCGTCGATGACTGTTCTTTCAGGGTTTATACAAGGTACCTCATCATTTAATGGTTTCCCCTCTGCCATCTTCTTTTTACTCTCAGGAGAATGATAATCGTCTGCATCGTAGAATTTCCACCCCAGCTAATGGGGAAAAAAAAAAAAGTAAATAAATAGAATTATTCGGCCAAACCAGGTGAGCTAAGAAGAAATTACGAAGACGACACCTACGAAATTAGGGGCCTGTTACACCACGGCATAAATCACCACTTACGTGGTGACGATTAGCAAAAAACCCTACAAAGTCAGCTTAGCAGCAGCAACACCTGACGCCCGGCGGCACGAAGTTAAAGTCGGCGCCGGCTACCGGGCGCTGGGGGCCGACACCCCGCACCCCCGGCCCTGGGGGGAACACGGGGGACACCGGCGGGCCGCGCTGCCGAGCGGCGGAGGTTAACGCCGGCGGGGATGCCCGCCCGGCGGGAGGGAGACACAGGGAGACCTCCCGCGGCCCAACGCGGAGCCTGACGCCGCCGTTACCTTCGCTGCCAGCCGCGACCCGACCGTCGTCCTGCGGGGAAGCACAAAGAGTCGGTTACAAGCCCCTGGCCGGCGGGCAGGGGGCCGAGACCCCCCACCCCCCCCGCACGGAGGGGCTCCGGCAACGCCGAGCCCCCGGCCCCCCCGGTACCTCCTTCCCCCAGCCCCCCCCCC